AAATATACAAAAGTATGAAGGCTATTGCTTAACGCACTGTAAGCCGCCCTGAGTCTCCGGAGAAGGGCGGCATATAAATCAAATTAAAAAAAACAAAACAACAACACTGGTTGAGTCACTTAAAAAAAAAGAAAAAGGAAGACCAAACCAAGATCTTTGTGCGTTAGCTATCAAGCATGTCAAATGATTGGGGTCCAGTCGCTACCACAACGGTCCCCAACTTTGCAGTTTGGCGGCCTGGCTGAGGGAAGGAAACCAGGCACCACAAGCGGGCCTGGATGTGCACCTGCAGCTCTCAACTTACACAATTTACACAAGCAGTGGACATGTGCAGATGCACATGCATGCAGCTCAACTTGTGCACGAGTGCAAGCTGGCCTGCCACTCACACAAGTTGAGTTGCACAGGTGCAAATGCCGGCCTACTGCTCATGTGGCACGGTTCCGAATAGGCCTTGGCTTGGTAGTGGGGGTTGGGGGTTCATACAGATTACTACTTAATCAATTGACTGGTTGAACTTGCAAGCTGACAGATCAAAAATGGGTCTGGAACTTCCTTACAACATCAACCTCCACTTTCAGTTTAGCAATAAAACATCTCTAGGAAAACTACCTAGAGTCCTTCTGTATTAAGGGAGAGATAAAGGTAAAGGTTCCCCTCGCACATATGTGCTAGTCGTTCCCGACACTAGAGGGCGGTGCTCATCTCCGTTTCAAAGCCGAAGAGCCAGCGCTGTCCAAAGATATCTCCGTGGTCATGTGGTTTAGCATGACTAAACGCTGAATGTGCACGGAACGCTTTTACCTTCCCACCAAAGGTGGTCCCTATTTTCCTACTTGCATTTTTTACGTGCTTCCGAACTGCTAGGTTGGCAAAAGCTGGGACAAGTAACGGGAGCTCACCCTGTTACGGGGCACTAGGGATTCGAACCGCTGAACTGCTGACCTTTCGATCGACAAGCTCAGCATCTTAGCCACTGAGCCACTGCATCCCTTCAACCCTGATCTATAGGTATTTTCCTTTTTTGGTCCTCTTAGAATGATTTTGTAAATTATCTTCTAAAGCAAGAGTGGGGACCAGTGGTGGGTTGCCCCTGGTTCGGACCGGTTCACAAGAACCGGTAGTAAAACCGGTGGGAAGCTCCGCCCACTGACCCGGATGTCATCATAGATGATCTGCGCATGCACAGAAGAGCGCGCGCGATGCAAACCGGTAGTAAAAGTAAGTAGAACCCACCCCTGGTGGGGACCTGTGGATCTCCATATATTATTGAACTCCAAACCTCATCAACTGTCTTGGCAACATATCTTGTATGGCAATATGTGGAGGACAATTCTTCTAACCAGCCTAATCTTTCTGGGGAGTGGGTGGGGGACTGTTTTGTTGTGGTTGCCCTTGTTATTGCTTTCCAACAGCATTTTAAAAAAGGATTAGAGGGTAAATGCATTCTATAGATGATAATCTTCTACAGATGATCATTTTCAGGTGAAGATTACTTTATTTAATTTGAAATTTAACAAATATGATTCCTGCCACAAATACTATCAAAGGTAACCATTAAGAACATGTAGATAGCAAAATACAAACAAAACATTGCTACAAGCCATATCCTGAAACTATACCCACAATGCACACACACACACACACACACACACACACACAGAGTAGTACTCATCCTAGCAATAATTACATGCAACCTTCTTCACCTACAATTCTGGATAGGTGGTATTTCTTCATCCTGACACCCAAATCACTCTAAAGTTTAACCTGTAATGGACTTTAATGCCTTGTATATATTTTCCTCTGTCTATTCATAATCCATACCTCTTTAGTGATGCAGTAAAATAGTCATCTTAACTATGATATGACTACGCTATGAATTCACAACATGCTTAATTATACGAGTAGTAACTCTCGTAAAGTATTAAAAATATAATGAATATTGTAAAATATTTTATAATTACAGCTTTAACCTAATATGGATGCTATTTTAGCTTGCTTTCACACTATGAGAAATTTTTCACATCAGGAGAGATTTTAGGGGTCATAATCAATTAATATGAACCCAAAATGAGTATGAAAATCATTACTTTAAGAAATTGGGAGTTGGAGTCTTCTATAATTTGTTTCCCAGTTCTATTGATTAAGCATCTTAACTTCTAAGATTAATCCCAAATGTTTAACGTTTTGCCAGCTCAAAACAAATGGGCAGAATAGAGTTAGGAAAGAGGAAAGAATTGCCTTTGATTGTCAAATGCCAATATTATTGATGCTTGAAAAGGGTGGAGATGATCTCCATAGCAGGAGGACACTTTCACGACAGTGAAGATGAGGTCTATAGCCAATTCCAGCTCTAAATTTGACAATATTATTTTGTTCCTGGACTACCTGAGGGTTTTTCCCCCTCTAAGTCAAGGGTGTCAAACTCGCATCGTCACAGCATCGTATTGTGATGTATCGTGACTTTTTTCCCCTTCGCTAAACCGGGTGTGGGCATGGCCAGCACATGATGCATCTAGCCTGCAGGCCACAAGTTTGACACCCCTGCTCTAGATCTTCCTTCTAAGAGTTTTCTGATATATTTACAGTTCCTTATATTCTTTCCAAGAATCCCAACCAGATGTAAATCAGAACATCTGTGCAATTTCTACAGAAAGGCTAACTTCTCTAAAGGCTCATAAAGAAACTTGAAGCCAAACCTATGGTGATATATGAGATGAAGATGTCTCTTCTCCATTTCATCTCAAGGGAAACATGAGTTGAAGGCTGAAAATTTCAGGGAGGGGAGGGGAAATATGCAGTGGTGAAATTCAATTTTTTTTACTACCGGTTCTGTGGGCGTGGCTTGGTGGGCGTGGCCTGGTAGGTGTGGCAGGGGAAGGATACTGCAAAATCTCCATTTCCACCCAGCTCCAGGGAAAGGATACTGCAAAATCCCCATTCCCACCCCACTCTGGGACCAGCCAGAGTTGGTATTTCCCGGGTCTCCGAACTACTCAAAATTTCCGCTATCGGTTCTCCAGAACCTGCTGGATGAACCCCTTGGATGAACCCCTTGGAAATATGTATCTTTATCTCTGAACCCCAAACAAATAATTGCAGCTGTTCCATGTTGCTTCTGATTCTCATCTGACCTTCAGTCACCAATTGCAGGGAATAATCTAATTTGGGACTAATCAAAGCAGGGTTTGATAGACTGCAGCTGGACCTCACTGCCAAATAAAATAGTTGCAAAAGCCAAAACTTGTTTTCACAAATCTGCACCTTGGGAGGAGAATTTACTGTCCCCACCTCCAAGGCTGACCCTTGAAAAGGGTGGAGATGACCTGCACAGCAAGAGGGCTCTTCCACACAACAGTGAGAATGAGGCCTATAGCCAATTTCAGCTCTAAATTTAGCACTATTATTTTGATCCTGGACTCCCAAAATATACTGAGAGCAGCAGAATCGAGTGTTGCAATAACCAGCTGGGGATTCCCAAGAGCCAAAGATATAAGAGATAGATCCCTCAAGGGCTATCAATAACTGTATTGGCCAGGAAAGAGTAGAAGCTGACGTCCAATACATCTGAAGAGTACAGATCTGAAGAAGGGTGTTGTACAGTCTTGGAATAAAAATCAGGAAACTTGGATTTAAATAATATAATTACATTAAGATTTTTGAGTCGCGTTGCTGAAGAAATCAGTCCTCTCCTTGTCCTCAGATATAGACTTCATAAAAGCCATTTCTTTATCCAAGAGTGAAACTGTGCATAAAACGCCTGCCACACTCTGATTAACTTTTAATAGGCCCATCAGCAGAGGCATAAAATTGTTTTCAATGGTGGCAGGGATCCACCGGTTGAGCAATCTCAGCCTGGGGCCGCAACCCAACACTGATCAATTCTTTCCATGTTCTCCCAACCCTGTTGGAGCTGTTTGTTTAAGCAGTTCTTATATGGCTGGGAGAATATTCCCTTCAGAGTCTATGATCAAAGGTTAACTGTGTAGATCTTCCCTGTGGAACAAGCACTTTATTAGGACTTGAGGTAACAGGAATAATTAACCTCTGTGCTTGGAACTTGGAAAAGTTTTTTTTTTTTTCTCAAACTTCACATTGGCTCTGGATTCACAGAGAGGAAAAGGAAGACAGTATTACAGTTTCGGAGAATTCCTCGCCCCAATGCCAGTGCCAGAGGTCAGTGTGAATTAGGTCTCTGCCCTGGATTTCAAGGCCAAAGCATAAAATCAACATAATGTATAATTGGACCTCAGTCGCTCAAGCGGTTTGGCTGCATCTATGGATTTGAACTGGAGGGAGATTCCAGGCAGCCCATTTAATGAGCATTCAATCTTCTCTCCACCTTCTATGCTTTAAAGCAGGGGTCTCCAACCTTGGCAACTTTTAAGACTTGTACATTTCTCAATTTCAGCAACGTTAAGATAGGCGGACTTCAGTCAGCATGGAGAATTCTGGGAGTTGAAGTTTGCCTGTCTTTAAGTTGCTGAAGCTGAGAAATGCTGCCTTGAAGCCTATCTCTTATTCTCTCTATTTCTACCCTAGTGGCCCACCTCATTTACTAAGGATGCAGTTAAATAACATCATGCAGAAAGCAAACATGGCATAAACAATTTACGTAAAATTACTGAATTATTACAAAACATGAAAAAAAATTGCTCCTTTCACACCACAATGCAGTCAACCAAGAGTAGGCCTGCAAGTCTTCGATGAAAATCCTAGCCCTGTCAACACATACACACCCACACATACACAGACTTAGTTCTCCAGTCCCTGAAACTTTAAGCAGATGGATAATGTTATTAACAGTTTAGTCCTCTCTACAAATGTAGTGTCTATATTTTTCAGAAGGCCCTGTTTCTTTTGGAGGCTTATAGAGGCGAACAATTAACTAGCTTTAAAACATTTGGCTCTGGACTAGCAATACAAGTTCATGTGAACATGACAAAACCCGGAGCACCAGATTTGCATTCCATTTATGGGCAAAGATGAACTGTACTAACCTCAGAACTAAATGGACCATATCTGTGGCCAGCCATATCTGGTTGGTCAGAGTAGAATGCATAAGCGTAAGGCCTGAAAAGAAAGGCAGATGTCAGCAAGTTTCATTTAGCATGCCATTCTCACTTTCCAATATAGCAACCCTCTAAAATTATAAATTCATTCACCCCGTCCCTCTGAATATAATGAATGGTTTCATTGTATTTAGAGATGGTGAAGAAATAAAAAAAATCAATATATCCGGTAAAATATTGCTGGAATCTTGCAACAAAGGTAAACAAAGCCTGTTGACTGGAAATTAGCAATAACAGTTCAAACCATGAGGATAAGCTTGCTTGGTTTTGCATAACTCTGAGGGTGTCTGATAGTGTTTAAGAGATCTGGGGGTGTTTATGACACAGCCACTCTCTACTGCAGGGGAATCAAACTCGATCTCATTGAGGGCCGCATCAGGGTTGTGTCTGACCTGGGGGCAGGGGCAGTGGTGGGATTCAAGTAATTTAACAACCGGTTCTCTGCCCTAATTATTTCTTCCAACAACCAGTTTGCCAAACTGCTCAGAAAGTTAACAACCGGTTCTCCCGAAGTGGTGCGAACTGGCTGAATCCTACCACTGGGCGGAGGGCAGAGCCAGAGAAGCTTCTGACAGTAGTCTCTCCTCAGGTGTTAGATGCAAGTAACCAGATCCACACGTGAGTTGAATATTTGGCCAATTTTTTTTATTTATTTTTTTATTTTTTTATTTTTTTATTTTTTATTTATTTATTTATTTATTTATTTATTTATTTATTTATTTATTTATTTATTTATTTAAATTTGTATACCGCCCTTCTCCCGAAGGACTCAGGGCGGTGAACAGCCAAAATTTAAAACACATACAGTATAAAAATTAAAAAGAATTAAAACAGAATTAAATCAGTTTGGCTTCCCTAAATTTTAAAACCCTTTCCCCATAAATTAACCCATTAAAATTTTAAGCCAGCCCGGCTTGCTGGAATAAGAAGGTCTTTAACGCTCGGCGGAAAGTACGGAGGTCCTGGGGGTAGCTCGTTCCAGAGGGCAGGTGCCCCCACAGAGAAGGCTCTCCCCCTGGGGATCGTCAGTCGACATTGCTTGACCGACGGCACCCTGATTAGACACACATGGAATTTGTTTCTCCGATACAGAAACTCTCAGTGTACATGCAAAGCAACAGAATAATAATAATACCAATAAAAGGGAGGAGTAAAGAAGATCATGATAAGTAGGATAAATAATAATACTACAGCCACACTACATGGGTAAGCATACATAGACATTAGTCAGCACTGTGAGAATTAGGAGTTCAGCAGAGTGATGGCATAAGGGAAAAACTGTCCCTGTGTCTAGTTGTTTTGGCATATAATGCCCTATAGCGCCATCCCAAGGGAAGGAGTTGAAACTGTTTATGTCCAAGATGGGAGGGGGCTGCAGAGCCCTCCTTCCGACCCACGGAATATGCAGGTCTTCTATGGAAGGTTGACTACTTTATTGTATTCTACATATAATACAAGAAACTCCCCAGACTCCTCGCCCTTCCCTGGGAACAAACAGATAAAGTTCCATGGGATTTAACGGGAAGTAGCACTAGGTCTCTTGTGGTAGCGCAATGACTCTAGGCAAGCTCCCCACTTGATCCCTCCTTCTTTCCTGGATGGTAGTTTCCCAACACCCAGGAGCATTCCCTTTCACTTTCACTTTGCTGGGATAAGGCAAAGCTGGGTTATATGGCAGAACGGGGAGCAAGTTCAGGCGGGGTTCTGACCTTGTATACACTCTTGTTTATGGAAAAAACAAAAAAACAAAGAATGAGAAAGTTGCCATCTCATATATTTTCCAACGATGAAACAATTTAGTGTTCTATTTTGTAACTTCATTAAAACATTAGAAAGTATGCCAAAAGAGGCACAAGCTCTTGGGAAAACATTCAATAATTATCTTTAAGAGATGGGAAAAGGCTACAATTGTTCCTTCTTGGACTCTCCTCAGAGCAAACTTTGATGCCATGTATTCTCAATTACCCAATTAAAAAAATATTGATATCTGCCCAATTCTTGGATTATTATTCTAAATAGGAACAACCGAAAACCAATATATCAACAGCTTTAACCCATGTATTTAAAATTTCCCCAGTACAACGTATACACCATTAGCTCATCAAGCAAACAAATATGTCTGATCAAAATTCAATTTCTACTAAAGGGATCAATAACACAGTCATTGCATTCATTGCTACGAAAGTAAGAGAGGGGATAGAGAAATGACCAACCTTTCATTGTCTGCCAAAGTTAGCCACTGCAGTATGGTTAATATTCTGCGCTCATAAGGGATCACACTAAATCAAAACAGAGAGAAAAAGCATGAAACCTCAGCTAGATTATTAGTTTCTTATGGTCTTACACAGTTCGTCATTAAGATCAGGTGTTCCATTGATGAGCTTCACGTTGTGACTTTTTTTGAAGTCACATTTACCTCAGAAATGTCTGCCTATTACAACCCAGCATAGCTGAATTGCTTCCTCAACACCAAATCCCAGAAACCATGGTTACTAAATGCTCAGCTTAAAAAGATGTCTTGCTTTTCTTCAGAAAATTAAATGAGGAGGAATGTCCATAGTCCCTGCTAGTTGGCAAACATTCTTCTCTACTGTCTGAAGTTTGATGGGATTATTAAAATGTTGTGTTGAAAAAAAGAATAGGATTTTTGTTTTAACCAAGGGAGTCCAGAAACATTAAAATGGGGGTTATCTAGTCAAGCCAAGTGGTGGGAAATTCATGAAAAATAAAATGAAAGCATTTCCTTAAGAGAGTGCAGTTTAACAAATGAAATGTAGCTCAACGACTGAACTTCACTTCCCTATGATGTTTTAGCAGCTGTTCAGGATAATAGCTTTAATTTAAATGGAGAAATAACACACATTCACAGCGGATAAAAGTATCAATGTCTAATTGGGATTGTGGCTAGTTATTCCCTTCAGCCTGACATATTGGTGGCTAAGTAACATGTCACAACAACAGGATGCTGTTTTACATACAGGTACTCCTTGACTTATGACCGGAGTCAAAATTATAGCTGACCCCCACAAAATAGATTTACAACCTGGATTTGTAGTCCAATGGCCTCCCCCCTTGGGGATCACATGATCGCATTTTGAGTGCTTGTCAACCAGCCTGCATTTATGGCTCTTTGCAGCATCCTGTAGTCATGTGACTGCCATTTATTGTTTTTCCCAAAACTGGCTTTTACTTCCGGTTTTGGACAACAACAAAAAACAAAACAACAAAAAACACCCAAAAACGGTTTGCTTAACAACCGCAGCATTCAGTTAATTATCATGGTGATTTGGTTAAAGACCACCACAAAATATTGTAAAATTGGGATGGTCGTGGGATATCCCACTTAACGACCGGCATGATTTACAAACATAATTCTGGATGTAAATCGTAAATCGGGGGCTACTGTATTCATATCTTCCTTTTATTTATGTCTTCCTATCAGCCCCTTGACCACTAACGCTGGATGACATTGGTTGATACAGCAGAGTATGTTAGATTAAGTACAGTGACAAAGTACTTGTAAGTGAAGGCTGGATAATACCTTTACAACCAGAAGACACACATAACATTTTCATGATGGTAGTTACACTTTTACAAACATGTAGAAAAACAAGCTATCTCACTCTAACCACTACTGCAGATTACTGATTCTCATCCCTGGGTCAATTGATTCCTGAAAGAATGCTCAATTAAGCATTGCAGAAAAAGACTATGTAGGTAACTAGGTATTAAGAAATAACAAAAGGAGCACATTCTAAATATAATTTAATCTCTTCTAAAGAAGCAAGAAAAGAGTGGGAAATGTACTGAAAAAGCCATTAACAGGTAAGCCAAGGAAATCCATTTCAACTTTGAGAATTAAGCCCTATTCAAGTAAGAACATTTGGTTCCAAATACCTGCCTTTAGGATTGTAGCTTTGTTACTAAAACTCTTTTATGTATGAATTTTCACTATCTAAAAATCAACACTTACTTTGACCAAAAGAATGTTCCAGCTTTCACTCCTTGCTTAGCAGCAGTAATCCATATCTAATGAGGAAAATATAATCAGATTACAATGGCTCAAAATGTCTGTGTTATAAGGACAAACTTTTCTACAATAAAAATGTTTTTAAAAACCATCTAAAATATTGGTTTCGAGGACCGCCCCTAAGAATTTAAGAATTTGGATCTGAGATTTATCTAGCATTGATCAAATTCCTAGAAGGGTTTAGAACAAGTAGTTCAGATGAGAAATAGAACATAAAGCCCAAGAATAAAGCTACATAAAATATATAAAAAGAAGCTTAAACAGTCTCAAATTATGCTCAATCTGAGAGGACCAGAGGATCCTCTTAGTAAGAGGTACTAAGTAAGGATCCTTACGGAAAAGATCTGATTGAATAGAAAAATAATAACAACACAATGGCTACAGAAATAGCTTGAGTAAGGCTATCTAAAGTGGCTATCCATAATTATGGATTGGATAATTATGTCTCTCTAAACAATATTTAACAACTGGTAAAGATGCATATCAGTCATTATATGAAGGGATTCTTTTGGTTGGTAGTAATCTGTTGATCTTTCCAAGTGAGCTCTTTTCCTCTAGATGTACCTGTTCATATACACTGGAGAAATGTCTTTTATGGATAAATACACAGACACACACCAGTGATAGGATTCAGCCGGTTCGGGCCAGTTCAGGTGAAGCTGTAATTAAATTGCTGGCTGGCCCCTCCCCTTCCCACCCCCCCTTCCAGAAGTCCCCACGTGTCCCATTTTGGCTCCCAGGTAAGTGCAGGGAGGCTTCCTAGGCCCAAAATGGGGCACGGGGTGGAGCCGCCCCTCCTGCGCCCCGTTTTCGCTCCCAGGAAGCTTCAGGGAGGCCTACTAGGCCCAAAACAGGGTGCGGGGTGATGGTGCGCCTCCCCCCACAGCCCATTTTTGCTCCTAGGGGGGTGCAAGAGGCCGAGTGCTGCCTGTCACACCCCTTGTCCACGCCCACCAAGCCATACCCACAGAACCGGTAGTAAAAAATTTTGAATCCCACCACTGACACACAGCCACATCTCTTGACAAGCAGAAATCTTGTTGCCTCTTCAAAGGACATGGCTCCTTAATGTTCAAACAGCCCGTTCAGGAGGCGCTCTGAAATGACCCTCCATTAATAGGCTTCTTAATTATATTAATAATATCTACCTTATTAAATGGTGTGAATAAGATTATTTAAGATTACCTCAAAGAGGGAAAAAATATCAACAAATGAGGTAAAACAAAATCCTGTTCAATATGCAGCTTCCCTACTTAAGTCTGTTCAGAATTGACAGATCCAGTTGAAAACAATCCTGGAGTTTCCACATAAATGCCCTTTGCAAATGTGTGTATTTTAATGAATGCCTTTAATGAATAGTCAAGGACAGATTTCAAAGTAGTTTCATAAGTCTAGAGAAAGACACGGCTGCTTTAATCATTCACAGGTTTTACATAACCCAGGATATATACCTAGCTGCCATGCTTCAAAAAGGAGCAGGGCGAAGACAAAAGAAAAAGAAAAAATTAGCATTGACTGAATTAACTACTGACTGAAATGAATTGCATGTAAAAGAGTGAAAGCAACTAGCTGTGAGATTTAACCATAATGGACCAAAGTCAAATAAAACTGATACTTACCGGTTGACCTCCCCACCATCGGTGATTGAATTTCTCTCTTCCTCGAAGGTTAAAAATAGCATCAAACACAGGGTCATACATTGAATTTCCAATTATTCCATGAGATTCAGGGTACAGTCCCTTTGAGCAAAAGTAAATTAGTTAATCAGATCAGATCAGATCAGATCTGATCAGATCAGATCAGATCACATTGTATTACCTAGAATTCATAACATCTATTTTATATTATTGCTGTCTTCATTTTGTGACTAAACTTGCTACTGAAGCTTCCATTTACAAAGATAATTCTGTTCTGCTCCTTGAGCTTTGGTTGTTTTCTTGCAGGCATTTCATTACCAAACTAGGTAACATCATCAGTGCTGCTAGACATGAAAACCAGCAAGTTCAGAAAGCACCAAGGACCCTACAGTTCAATCTTGAGCTACATTCTCTTCTAAAGATCATTCTGACAAAATTCCCCAAGACTATACCATCCAGATTTGGGATTTCAGATCCATAATCGGCAGCCAGCATGAATAGGATGGAGCTGAAGATACATTATACTTGGGGGTACCACTATGGAGCAAGTTTAAGCCACAAGTCTGGCTTGTATTTCAATGATTAGAGTTAGTCTTTCCTCAGCTCTTCCTAGATTACATAATCTTGATTATTTCACTGAATACAGTGAATACAAATGGCCATCCTCAATTAATGAGCTGTTTTCCTCTAGTTCAAAAGAGGAAAGTAATCTGGGTAATATATTCAAGAGTCTTAATGTCCCAGCCATGCTAATACTTAAGAAGTATTTTTAAATATATATTTTATGTATGCGTGAAGAAAAAGAAAACTTACAGTTGCCAGAGTGTATAAATTTGGGAAGGTTTTGGTTGGATAGACAGGTCTCATGTAGGGGGCATGGGTTCCACAGGACCCTGAAAACAACATGGGACACTGAACACATTCTCACGGACATATATTTCGGCACACTATAAAGCTGAATGTATTACATTTGCTTTGAACAGAGCAAGGCTTTTATGGCATTCCTCATTAAGATGTCAACAGCACATTGAACTGTTGACAAATTCAATTTTATGTATGCCGCTCACTTTGAACCACACAACACAATGTATGATATTTTTCACAAGAACTAAACAAGACCATGCAAAAATTTGAGTTATAGTTGGATTGTTTATATATACATATACACATACATACATATATGTACAACTATCTATATCTATCTAGGTATCTATCTATCTATCTATCTATCTATCTATCTATCTATCTATCATCTATCTATCTATCTATCATCTATCTATCTATCTATCTATCTATCATCTATCTATCATCTATCTATCATCTATCTATCTATCTATCATCTATCTATCTATCTATCTATCTATCTATCTATCTATCTATCATCTATCTATCTGTGTCTGTGTTCCTTGGAATTTGCTCTGAAAAATATATAGAATTTTATCTATTAGTTTACTTCTCAGTAAACACCTCTCAAGAAAGGTGTTCCTTTCTAAAAGAAACTAAATTTTCATCCTATGCTAAATTTTTATCCTATGCTAACCTGATGTGTATGCAAAATAGAACATTTCTTCCATTCAATTGGTCACACAGACAGCCAGACATTTAGATTGGATTTGGCATTTTTATTCACCTATCAAGTCCTTGCCAAGGAGCTGGGATAGGCAGTTATGTCGAGGCTTGATGGTGTTAAAGATATTGTCACAGAATGTAAGCTGTTCCAAGTAAAGCTGCCTTTTGCAATTGACTGTTTTTGTCAATTTGTTGATGGTGCTGAAGTGATGCTGCAGATGTTTAGGGATTGCACCCCAGACTTCCATCACTATGGGTTCTATGTTTGGGGTGTTTTTTTTGCCATAGTCTTTCCATTTCTACTTGCAGGTCTTTGTATTTTGTGAGGATGACGATGATGATTTCTGTTTCCATCCAAACACTAATGGAACCCTAACCCTTTTTATTGTATGAGTTCAGACAAAGTTGGCCAACCCAAACCAGCAGAAGTCATGGCCAGACAACAGCTTCACCATTCTGAGATATATTGTTCAAGCATGCCCACTTACTTAGCTTCTCAATATTGCGCATCACTTTTTCACCTTTCTTCATGTACGATGCACGGAAGCCATCCACAGAGAAAATGATCAGCGGAGGGTGAAGAAAACTAAAGAATAAAGATAATTTAGTAAACCGGTAGAACAGACTGCAGTAAGAGCATGCAAGAGAGAACAAATGCAATATCCAATTTAGCAAAACTTTTTAAAAGGTTCCTAGGTATTTTCATCAGGGATACAGATGCTATACACATCTCCAAGAAAAAAAGAAAAATGGTTATGGACACTCTAAATCACTTATTCCATCATTTAGGGCAGTTTTTTCTCATCTCATTCAAGGAGTGTTTTACTGCATAACCTCCAGCTATTTCTTTCTCTGGCTATTTTTGTTTTTGATATTGTTTGAATTTACCTCTTTGTTACTTTTGTCTGTTTTCTATTTGTTTATGTTGTACACTGCCCAAAAAGTGGGGGAGGTTACAAGCACTATAAAATAAGCAAAACAAATGAAAAACTCAGGGAGGCTAACTTGAAAATTATAGGAGGTCAGATCTTAGACTATATTAGATCTTATTAGAAGCAGATTAGAAAGGGCCGTTTTGGAATAATGATGAAATAAAAATGCATAAAATTCCTGAAATAAGAGAAAGATACTTGATAAATGTCTTTTCAAAGCTCAATATTTTTTCAAAGAGATTTTTTACTGCATCACCGGTAAAATTTTCATTTGAACCTGCATTTATTCTGACGCTTCGTTATTTAATCTTGGAAACTACTGTTAACATTTGCAGTGCCATAAATCACAAAGATGAATGCTTAATGCAGCATTTAAAAAAAGACTTGAAAATATTTTGTTAAAAATGCATCCAAAAACATGGACTCAATTAGAATCTGTAACCCTATAATCATTTCCATTTCTTGATCTGTCTGTCTAAATAATTTCCAGTTAGTTCTGCTTTAATGGGTATTAATCTCAATAATGTGAGATTATTAGGACAGAGTAAGGATTTAAAGTGGAACCACAGCAAACTTAATGGATGGCATTTTAATGGTTCTGCTTTCAAACTGTATTGAAGAATATGACCGAAATAGACGGATATTTTTCTAAGGAGCACACAGAAGAAATTTTCCATTGTGCAGCTGTGTTGCATTGTTCATGTAATTTAATGGAGAGACTAATGATTCTTTTCATTTGCAACACACCTGGGCTTGCTAACCATTTCCTTCCTTCCGCCTTATCTTCTCACATGCACATATATGAGTGCACACTTAAGGAGGGAAAACCTTGTGAGGTTTATTTTATATTTATATCAGTGGTAGGTTTCACATTTTTTTACTACCGGTTCTGTGGGTGTGGCTTGGTGGACGTGGCATGGCTTGGTGGGCGTGGCTTGGTGGGTGTGGCAGGGGAAGAATACTGTAAAATCTCCATTCCCTCCCCAGTCCAGGGGAAAGTTACTGCAAAATCCCCATTTCCTCCCGATCAGCTGGGACTTGGGAGGCAGAGAATAGATGGGGGTGGGGCCAGTCAGAATTTTTACTACTGGTTCTCCGAACTACTCAAAATTTCCACTACCGGTTCTCCAGAACTGGTCAGAACCTGCTGAAACCCACCTCTGATTTATATCCCTTCCCATTACTGAAGCATTTTAGGTACCCACCAATTCTACAAGAGCATTTGAAGAATTTAGAATGTAGAACCAAACAATTTTGCAATGGTCAATGAGCTGCAAATAACAGACTACCGTCTTTAACTAGATCGAGGTTGCAAAATGTTCGTCCTTGACTTACAACCCCAATCGAACCCAAAATTTCCATTGCTAAGCAAGACAATTGTTGTAAGAGTTGTGACTTAACTAGTGGTGGGTTGTCCCCGGTTCACACCAGTTCTATAGAACTGGTAGTAAAACCGGCAGGAGGCACCACCCACTGACCCCGACGTCATCAAAATGCTTCTGCACATGTGCAGAAGAGCGCGCATGCACACTTGCTTCATTGCGAACCGGTAGTAAAGGTAAGTAGAACCCACACCTGGACTTAACATGACTATAATTAAGCAAATCACAGCAGTGGTTAAGCGAATCGTGTGGTTGTTAAATGAACCTGGCTTCCCCCGTTGACTTTGCTTGTCGGAAGTCAGCTTGTTACAAATGGTGATCACATGACTTCGGGGCATTGCAACCGTCATAAATACATGCCAGTTGCCAAGTGACTGAATTTTGATCATGTGACCATGAGGATGCTACAGCCGTCGTAATGTGAAAATCATCACATTACTTTTTCAGTGATGTTGTAGCTTCAAACAGTCATTGAACAAACGGTTGTAAGTCAACAAATGGTAAGTCAACTAGTTAGTTGTATTTGGTCCTGGACACACAAGTCCTATGGTCTTTTGATCAGCAAGTCCTGCCTCTTATTGAGTCGGACATCAACTTTTGGAAGAATATAAATATATTTAATTTAGGAGTGGTGCGGTGGCCTAGAGGTGTAGCTCTCGCCTCTCAATCAGGAGGCTGTGATCCTAGGGAGAGGCAGATATTTCTCTCTCTGAGCACTCTGAGAATATGTCTGCTGAACAAAACTCCATACTGGCAACAGGAAGGGCATCTGGCCATTAAAACACTCTGCTAGCTCCATTCACTTGCCCAGACTCCACCTTGCAAGGGATTATGGGGTCGTTAAATGAAGATGAGAAATATATTTAAGTTCATGCTGATTTCTGTGGATCAGGCAATTCCAATGTTAAAGAAGTCACACAACACACAACTAATTTGGCAACTAGGGGAAGCCAAAACAGGGTTTTTTTTTAATTTCAAGAAGAAAGTACCCTGCTTACCCTGCTGGACATACTGGAGTCCGAATATCCTCACAATCATCCATGACCCAGGGAGTGTCTCCTAAAAGAAAACACATGTAATGTGAAGTTGGGTTAGGTTCCAACTAAGTCCTATCCTGTGCATTACGATTGCCAGGATTTAGTTTCTTTTGTTAAAAAGAAGCTTTTTATTAGTTCAAAATTAAAAACATTGGACATAGATATGACATCACTGGTCCCAAGCATCTTCCAACACTTTAAATTAATACAAATATACTAATGATAATATAATAATATATTCCTTACACCTTATTTAAACATAGTATAATAATAGTAATTTATACCTAGATTTATTCTCAAGTAAAGAGACATTGGATTGCAACAGCAGGACACCTCTGCATTCCCTATATTGGCTCAAATCCCAATGTGGTATCTGGAGGTGACCATGTACATACCAGCAAATGTTTTGCTACAAGTTTCCTCCCTACCTAATTTTTTAAAGTTTATTTTCATTTAAAAAATAATAATAATTGGAAATAAGCATGCCAAAAAGTCAAGTGCCAGTTTCAAATCAAGCTGGCATTTCTAGTGATGCTTCTGGATTCCAAAAAGTTGCAGTCTGATGGTTAATGTCAGGCAAAAAAGAATCAAGACCACACATTAAGCTCCAGTTAAGATGATTTATTGCTCATGCCTATATACTCAAATATCTGGTTGGTGCTAAATGAGAGTTAATGGAATTCAAATGACATTGGACATTTTTGGGAACATAGTGATTCCAGGCTGATTACTCTCTTGAGTCTGCCCCCAGGCTCACCTGTCCTTCTCCTATAGTTATTTTGCTTTCTGGTAGAAGGCTGGCTTCTGGCTGGCCATAGCTGTCACAACCACTGTCTTTTGAGAGATACCACAACATGATTTTATAAATCCAAAGTTGCCCTTAATTCCCCCCCAAATTTGGAAACTATGCAGATATGTCTAGAAGGAAGACACGATGTATTTGCTAAGCACTCTGTTGGCTTGCGAGTTACTCAGATCCTATGAATTGTAATTTAGTGTATCTGCAAGTCAGGTGACTTTGTCCTGTTCAACAAATCATGAGGTAAAAAAAAATTAACTTAGTGAGATATGTGAGCTGAGCTTCTCTCTAATGTATGCTCACTCTAATTTTGCTCTCGGGGCCAAGCTTCAACTTCCAAGTAATCTGAGCTGTTTAAAAAATAGGTAATTTGTGAAGATGGTCTGCAGGCATATACTGTATTTTGCATATACTGTATTTTTCAGAGTATAAGATGCACTTCCCCCCCCCCAAGAGGCTGAAAATTTGGGTGTGTCTTACACTCCGAATGTAGCCCCGCCCACCTGCCGGCCCCCACCCTTCACCAAAGCACACTGCCACCGATCGCCGCCTCCACGCATCACATTTTTGCCTCTGCGCATCACATTTTAGGCCTCTGCACATGTTTGGCCTCTGCTTATCGCATTTTTGGGCAGCGATCGGTGGCAATGTGCTTTGGCGATCCTCGCAGCCTTGAATGCCTCTCAAATAGAGCGTTTGGAGGCTGGAAATGCGAGGTGCGGAGCCCAAAATGGCAACCCAGAACAGCTGCTGCCTTGTCTTACCGCTTCCACGCTTCGCCTGCTTTACTCACTGGAGTTCCCTCCAACGATCAGCTGTGCTTTTGAAGCTTCTAATCAGCCCCAACGAGCCCCAACGCGTGCGCTCACAACCAGCGAACTAATGTGCTGAAGCTGACCAGGCTAAGAACGCTAGCCAGATGAATACCTGGTAGGCAGAGGCAGATCCCCCCCCCCCCCCGCTATATTCCTCCCCAAAAACTAAGATGCCTCTTATACTCTGGAGCGTCTTATACTCCGAAAAATACGGTATGTATCACATGCATTCGCACTATTAATGCCACTCTGAAGCAAATTCCGGAAGCAGAGTAGCTGTCCTGATGTCCCCCTCATCCTTGCCTTTTAATGCTACAGCTTCCAATACCTTGCCTGAAGAGAACAGTGTTGCCAGATGCAAACTTGGCCCTTGATGACGTCAATTACGGAAAATAAAATCCTCAACCTCCCTCCACTTAATAGCAAGCACAAATGCAAAACAAACTCCCAAAGTTAATATTACCAGTGGAAACAACTTTTGAAGGGGTAGCTTATGTTTGTTGGTTGCAGCAAGGACAGAGAAAGCCTTGTGGCACTTACAGACTGACAGATTGTTATGACACAAGCTGTCATGGACCAGCTTTTATGGAGCCACAGCCATGTTTTGTTTTGAGCAACAGAAGTCCGTTTTTGCATTGATAGAGGACGCAGAACAGAAACTTGAATTAGTGGGGTTAGGAAAAAGGCACCTTTCTGGATTCAAGTAAGAGACAAAAATAGATGCATTTACAACCCTTTTTTTTTTAAAGAGATAAAGTTCAAAAGATATTCAGTAGTAGAACATTGACTATTTCAAAATGAAAGAGCTTGGCTTGCAGAACAAGCAACTAAAATGGTCAGGCAATGTTCAAAGAGTAACGTTTGAAGAGCTTTCCATGCGGTCCTTGAATAGGAGAAACAAGTGAGGAGATAAAACATATTTTCCTCTGGAATAAGGTATTACTTTTATGAAGAGCCAGTTTGGTCCATTCGTTAAAGTGCTGGATTAGGAAAAGTTCTAATCCTGGCTTGTACATGGAAACCAGAAGGGTGGACAGTAGGGTGATTCGGGGCCAGTCACTTTCTCTTGGCCCTAGACATTTCTGAAAATGTTGCCATGAAAATTGCATGGAGCCACTCACTTTCCTTTTGGTTAGGGCTAAGTTATGGAATCCTTCCTCTACTCCCATGATGGCGAATATATGGCACGCGTGCCCCAGGTGACAAGTAGCGCCCTCTCTGTGGGCACACAAGCCGTCACCCCAGTTCAGCTCGGCCGCGCATGCACACGCGCCTCCCACCAGCCAGCTGGTCATTGAGTCTCTGCCGCACATATGGGGGGGGTGCATGCGGGGGGCCATGCATGCTTGCGGGGGGGCACACACGTGTATGGGGGGCATGTGTGTGTGCAGGGGGGCATGTGTGTGTGCAGGGGGCGTGCGTGTGTGCAGGGGGGCATGCATACATGTGGGGGGGCCATTCACACATGCAGTGGGCCACACACACATGCGGGGGGCGGGGCACATGCGAGGCGCACGCATGCATGGGGTGTGTACGGGGTTGCAAGCGTGGGGCGCATGCATGGGGTGCACATGCAGGGGGTGGGGTACATGTATAGGGGCCATGTCCACATTGCATTTTGGGGGTTCACACGCACGCGCTTTGGGCACTCGGTCCGGAAAAGGTTAGACATCACTGCTCTACTCCATCCATTTCCCAGCAAAGACCACTGGCAAAAAACTTAACCAAGATTGAGGAAGTTAACCCATAAGCAATAGAAAAGCTATTTTGGTGGCCAATAATCCGATACTACAGACTCCTTGGGGCAGCACGATGGCTCAGTGGTTAAGATGCTGGGCTTTTCAGCTAGAAAGCTGATAGCCCAGGTTTGAGACCTGTGTGTTATGTAAAGAGGTGAGCTCCCATCCTCGCCCCAGCTCCAGCCAACCTAGCTGTTCGAAAGCATGCCAATGCAAGTAGATGAATAGGTACCACTTCAATGGGGAGGAAACAGCACTCCATGACGTCATGCTGGCCACATGACTGCAGAAACGTCTTCAGACAGTGCTAGCTCAACAGCTCTTGAAATGGAGATGAACAACACTCCCTATAGATGGCAACAACTAGCAGAGTAAAATCCACAAGGACTCCTTAAGAAGTTGGCATCTTTTTACTGCATTCGCATTGCCATGCACTAATTAAGAATTGTTATGGTTATCACATTACAGGTTTTATCAGGGATTTGTCTGATTTGTCTCCCTTTGCACAACGGCGGGGATGATCATCCTTGCCGAACTAGTAGCTACAACACTTCAAAAACACTTCTTGATATATAGGAAGAAAAAAAATGGGAAGAAATACCTTTGCAAACCACTTGATAGTTACTACAGCAGTCTCCTCTTGCTAAACAGTCTTCTGAACAGTGGCAGGCATGATCTTCATTCCTGGTCTCTCCACAGCGCTCTTTGGTACATTCCCAACCGCCGGCTGGTGTCATCGCAAGGGCAGAAATGTTTTAAAAACAAAGCAGCATATTTTGAGGCAACCGAATGGCATTATAATCACTCAGTAACATCCAATACATTCCCTGAAGTCTGTTGTGAACATTCTAAAAAGGCAGCGCAGAAGAAAACAGCAGATCTACCATATTCTTAGAATATCTGCTTAATGATCACAGCATTGAAATACATCACCCTTTTCTCACAACTATAGATAAATACCGTATTTTTCGGAGTATAAGACGCACCTTAGTTTTTGGGGACGAAAATAAGAAAAAAGCTGATTGGCAGGTGGATCGGCCTCCCGGAATACCCCCAATTCATCCCAGAGGTGAATTTTAGCAACAGATTCCTTGGTTGTGAGCTTTGTGCCTAGCTTTTTTTTTTTTTTGTTTTTTTTCCTGCCTCTGAAACTTCTGAAACTCTGTTTCAGAAAAATCTTTTTTTCCTGCCTCTAAAAGCCTCCGAAACAAGAGCTTCAGAATAAAAGCCTCTGAAGCTCTGTTTGGGGGCTTTTTATCTGAAGCTCTGTTTGAAGGCTTTTTTTCTGAAGCTCTGTTTGGGGGCTTCTTTTCTGATGCTTTTTTCAGCCTCTGAAACCTCCATTTGAGAAGCTGGGCAGGGCTACATTTGGAGTATAAGATGCACCCAGATTTTCACCCTCTTTTTTGGGGGGGGAAAGGTGCATCTTATACTCAGAAAAATACAGTAATTCTTGGTTGAAATATTTTCTAAACAGCGCTCTAAACTGCTGTTCTGTTACCAGACTGATTCTCCACATTTGAAAAAAAAACCAACCCCAAGGACCTCATTCAAACATTGCCGCTAACCGTTCTTGCGATTTAGTGTCTGTGATTTATGGTTGAACACGCTTGATACCTAGCCAACATCTATGAAAAGTAACATCAGCAGGAAAGTGAGCACAGGTAATCCTCAACTTATAACCGTTCATTTAGTGACCGTTCGAAGTTACAATGGTACTGAAAAAAGTGACTTATGACTGTTTTTCACAAGACCATTGCCACATCCCCATGGTCACGTGATCAAAATTCAGACCTTTGGGAATTGGCTTATATTTATGACGATTGCAGTGTCCCATGGTCATGTGACCATCTTTTGTGACCTTTTGACAAGCAAAGTTAACAGGAAAGCCAAATTGACTTAACAATTGTGTTACTAACTTAACAACTGTGGTGATTCGCTTAACAACAGCCTCGGTGGTGCAGCAGACTAAAGTGCTGTTAAGTGCTAGCACTTAGCTGCCAGCTGCCTGCAATTAGTGCAAGTTCGAATCCAGGCTCAAGGTTGACTCAGCCTTCCATCCTTTCGAGGTAGGGAAATTGAGGACTCGGATTGTGGGGGCAATAAGCCAGCTTTGTATAGAACAACACCGCTTAGGGGGGGCCGAAAGCCCTAATAAGCAGGTACAGTATATACAAAAAAGTATGCAGGCTATTGCGATAATGCATTGTAAGACGCCCTGAGTCTACGGAGAAAGGTGGCATATAAATTGGACTAATAAATAAAATAATAAATAAATAAACATCTGTGGCAAGAAAAGTCATAAAATGAGGCAAAACTCACTTAACAACTGTTAAAAATCCTAACCCTAACCCTTACGTAGCAACAGAAATGTTGGACTCAACTGTGGTCATAAGCTGAGGACTACCTATAATAGTTCTGCCTTTTTTTTCCTCCTTCTATAACAAAAGTCTGACAAATTCAATCAACATGATACTTAAAACATGTAGCAGAATTTGACAGATGCTTAAATATCCATGCCTGTAAATAAATCCATGTTTACACGCAAGGTAGTCAAGAGAATGAAAACTTATCGGTTACATTTCAGATTTAATAGTTTAGCACGTTGCCCAAACCTCTTATTGCTATAAACCTTCCAAGTCAACATTATAAACTATTTAAGCCACATTTCTTTTAAGGAAAGGGTGGAAGAGTATCACAAATACATCTACACTTGTAGTGTGACGACTCTACTTTTCATACAGATCTTCTCCTGTGTGAAAAATGGATGGAACACTGGACAATGGAGGAAGATTATAAATGGATGAGGCCATCCCCAGGTCTCTGTAAAATATGTGTGAACAAGCCACGGTTATTCCCCAATAAATATCTTGTTTGGAATGCTTTAGCATTTGTGCTTCATGCTCATCAAGCAATGCCTAGCCAAAATGATTGCAGATTGCACTGTTTTCACTTTCCCCAATCGGTCTTTGAAAAGGACCAACAGTCATGCAAACATAGTTAAAAACAGGGTGGATAAAAATCAATGATTTTTTTTTAAAAATCCAAAAAATCAGATTTTTTTGATTTAAATCGGATTTTTTTTATTTTTATCGAATTTTTTTTAATAAAAAAATTTTGGGGTAAAAATCTATCGTAAGATAGTTTTCTATTTAAGATACATAAATAATTTAGTTTATTCAGCATGAAATGGAGCTTAGTTACGTAGCATGAGGCTGTATATTCTGCAACACTGGGACTATCGGTGAGTCAACAGTGGGTCAAAGGAGTAGCAGAGATGACAGTTGCTCTTTAAAAATTATGATTTAAATCGAGTTGATTTAAATCAAGTCTTTTTACTAGTGATTTAAATCATGATTTAAATTGTGATTTAAATCAACTCGATTTAAATCAAATCCACCCTGGTTAAAAACACTGCTTGATAAAAATAGTCAAGATAAGTCTTCATTAGCATTGTTCTTTCTATGGAGCAGGGACTTAAGTTGCACCCTACCTGTCTTTAAACACAGTTCATCAAAGTCAACACAACAGCTGCTATAGCTCTTGCACAGGTTGTCACAACGGCAAACTGGAGGCTCTGCTTCATCAAGTTCAAAGCATCGGTTTTTGCAGGAGCCATAAGTACTGATCCAGGGGGAATCTGATAAGACTGAATATCAGAGAAAGAAAGAGAGAGAGAGAGAGAGAGAAATACCACACCATAAGTTAAGTCATTATTGGTTGATCAAAGGTTATTCAAAGGAGGTTAACCGCTCAACTGCTTCATCCAAGAAAAATAAAAGGATATGGTACAGAGAGCTAAGAGACAGATGCAAGAAACAAAATATCATCAAATAAAGAGTGGATAGATCTCTCCAATCACTTTTCTTATCCTGGATTAACCTGCAATAAATCAAAGCTGCATATATTCTGTGCCAAAATAACATTCCACATATTGCATGAAAAACCCCACATTTTGACCAAAGTCATCCAAATTAAAGACTGCAGACCTTGGATATAAAATGAGTAGACTGTCAAGAGAACTGAACTGAATATTATTTGGCCTAAAGAGGAGAAAAGACAGGACAGAATGTTACAGAAAGTAGGTGCCTTAGAGGAAAGACTCACATCAAGCCGAGTTATTAAAGATGATCCTAGAATGTAGGTCTTCAGTAAAATCAAAGGGCAAATCTGTGCTTGCATGAAGAGGCATGAAAAGGATTCCAAGTTGTTATTCCGTTCTTTAGTAGAATAATAGAATTGGAAGGGACCTTGGAGGTCTTCTAGTCCAACCCCCTGCTCAAGCAGAAGACCCAGTGATGATTAACCTTTTTGGTGCCAAGTGTGCAAAGTGCACGCGAGCACGAAAAATACATCCGTGTGCCCCAATCCCCTAAATGCAATGTGAGCGCCCCCTGCACATGCGCCCCACCCCTGCATATGTGCATGCGTTCCCTGCGCATGTGCTCCCCGTGCATGCACCCCGACCCCCAGCTCCTCTTTTGGCTTCCAGGTTGGTGCAGGAGGTTTTTCAGGCCCAAAACGGGGCATGGCGGGGGTTGCAATTTCCGCAGTTTCTCCATCCCCCCGTGCCAAGGCTTTCTCCTCCATTTCTGCCTTCCCCAATCTCCGGAGTTTCTCTCTGTGTGCCGAGGCTTTCTCCTCCATTTCTGCCACGGAGAGGCACTTGTGGAGGGTGGAACCTGCGGAGATCGGGGAAAGCCCTGCCCCTGTGCATGTATGGCAGAGACCTGAATACCAGCTGGCCGGCGGGAAGCATGCACTCATGCGTGGTGGAGCTGGCCTGGGCAACGGCTGGCATGTCCGCAGAGAGGGCTCTGTGTGCCACCTGTGGCACGCTTGCCAGTGGTGGGTTTTTACCGGTTCGCCTCGGTTTGGGAGAACCGCTAGTGGCGGCAGTGGGAGGCTCCACCCACCTGTCCGGATATCATCACAGATGCTTTTTGCATGCGCAGAAGGTTCTGTGCATGCGCAGAAGTGCTGCACACAACAAAGCGAATGTGTGCGTGCTCACAGTTCCAAACTGGTAGCGAAGGTAAGTGGAACCCACTAGTGATGTGTGCCATAAGTTCGCCATCATGGCCCTATACCCGTGGTGGCGAACCAATGGCACGTGTGCCACAGGTGGCACACGTAGCCATATCAGTGGGCATATCAACTCAGCTCTGGGGTGCATGCACGCGCCGGCCAGCTGATTTTGGGGCCTTCTGGGCCCACCAGAAGTAGGGAAACAGGCTGTTTCCTGCCTCCGGAGGGCCTGGGGGGTGGGGAAGGCCTGTTTTTCTTTCCCACCTATCTCCAGATCCTCTCTATGCATCTGGGGAGGGCGAACCGGCCTTTCCCACTCCCTCGGAGGCCCTCCAAAGGCCTTAAACGGCTCATTTCCCACTTCCCACAGGAAGTGATGTTTTTTGCTCCTGGAGAGGCTCTGGAGGCTGGGGGACAGCAAAAAACATCACTTCCTGTCCCACCGGGAGTTGGGAAATGGTCCATTTCAGGCCTTTGGAGGGCCTCCGAGGGAGTGGGAAAGGCCGTTTTCGCCCTCCCCAGATGCATAGAGAGGATCTGGAGACAGGTGAGAAAGAAAAATGGGCCTACTGGGCCATCGCGTGGCAGGAGCGGGGGGGAGGACTGGCACATGCATGCGCAGGGCAGGGCACATAGAATTATGGGTGTGGACACACATGCGCGCAAACCTCCCCCACCCCCCGTTCCTGGCACATGATGGCAAAAAGGTTAGCTAACAATGGCCTATACCATTGCAGACTTCTTCTTAAAAGCCTCCAGTGATGGAGCACCCACAACTGTTAGGCAATTTCTCTTAAGTTAATTGTTTCTCGTCTTGAGTTCTGGTGCTTTGGAAAATAGGTTGGCCCTTACTGTGATTAGACTGAAGACACTTTCCCAAGGATGTAGTTAAGGTAGGTCTACTGTTTCCCAGGAATATTGAGCACTGGATGCCATCTTTTAAAGGTTATGTTCTTTCTTTACATGTAAGGATCAGCTTCTAAGAGTCCTTCTCATTTTGTTCCCAAGGATTCAGCCAAGCAATTAAATGGGACGCTATCCAAAAAGCAATCACTTAAAGGACAAAACACACTCTTTTTGAAAAAAGACACCCATGTCTTTGCCAAATCTAGCAATTTTCTTCTTCCGAGAGAGATTGAATAGTGTCACAATTTAAAAGCTTTTTTTAATCTTGGGCATCATCCTTTTTTTTTCATGTTTTATTTGTATAACATTCAATTTCCATCAAATAGTGTGTAATCTGGGTACAGTTATTTTTAAACTATCATAATCCACATAATATCCATAATATTAATAATATAATAATATAATAACAGTAATACTTAACATCATCTTTTTTAACAACTTTCACATTAACATTTCCTCTTTTTATATCTCCTCCTTCCTAACTTGTTTCTGTTGGCTAGCCATTGATAGGATATATCCCATATCAAAAAAATTCAGTTTCTTCTTTATCCTTAATAGTAAGCATTAATCTATCCATTTCTCCGCATCCTAATATTTTCTTAATTACATTCTCCTCAGAAGGAATCTCATCATTTTTCCATTGTTGTGCAAATACAATTCTAGTTGCAGTTAATATATGCAAGACCAGATATATAATCTTTTAATCATATTTTTCCGGTAGAATGCCCAACAAAAATATCTCTGGTTTCAAATCTATATGTTGCTTTGTAATTTTTTTCCAACCAAGTATGTATTTTCGTCCAATATTTTTTAGCTTATGGGTTAGGGTTAGGGTTAAACTAGGATTACACTCTTTTTGAAAAAAAGATATCCATGTTTTTGCCTAATCTAGCGATTCTCTTCTTCTGACAGAGATTGAATGGTGTCACAATTTAAAAGCTTTTTTTAATCTTGGGCATCCTCCTTAATTGTTCTGCAAAATAGTAATGATTCCTTCTCCCCTCTGTTGGCCTTCACCATAGACTATTTTCTATAATTAAATAGTTGTGGTAGCCTTTTTTTATTTCTTTAGTATAAAATGCTCGTTATTCTGATATCAGAGCAAACATCTGAAGCCAAAGTGTGAAACTTGAACTCTTTCCCAGGAATGATGGAATAAACATTAAAGTATGTTTGGTTGCTTGTAATAAAGATATTGTGGTGATATGGCTTATTGTTTTATTTTTTCCATGTGTTCTGGCTTAATCTAAGAGTTTCATGAGGACAGAAGGATTATGTTTAATAAGTATAAAGACAGTTTATAAACTTGTTTTTTTTAAGAGTTAATCTGTTTTCAAAAAGGCCGTTTAACAATTCTAGAACTATTAGTTTAGTCAAAGGAAGCAATCCAGTGCTTGGGAGAATATGTTAGGCCTAACACCTCATTAAAGTGTAAAATCGCATTTAAAAATCATTCTAAAAACTAGAAGCCACTGAACTCCTTTAATTCTCATTGACTCTTAGTTTCTCCTATACTCATCTATCAAAATACAGAATAACTTTTCATACGATGACGACGCTTTTTCTCGTGGCCTCTCTCATAGTTTCATTTACCTGTTTTGTTTAGCTTAACTGATTTACATTTGCGCAACTGAGGTTTTTCTGCTTGGATTGGAACTATTCCAGACTGCGATTATAGTTGGGGACATTATGACAATTGTTGTGGCGCAAGCAGCCTGGACAAGTCCATATGTAATTGTTTGAAATTAAAATCCATGTAAGTAATACTGTGTATAAGAGAAAGAGAAGAGTGGGAGGGAGAGGGAAGGGAAGGGAAAGAAAGGGAAGGGAAGGGGGAAAAAGAAAGGGGAAAGGGGAAAAGGGAAAAGGGAAAAAAGAAAAGGAAGGACTTATTTAAAGAACAGCTTTCCACTTTTTAAAATATAAGACACAATATTCTGCTTACTCTGGCCCTGTATGGAATGTTATGCTTATATTCAAGTTCAGGTTAAAAAACCAACTTCATGAAAAAAAATAACTGCATCTTTTAGTTCCCATTTGCTGGAGGGTAAATTTACCATATGACAGGAAAAGTTACTGTATGATGGAAAGAATGCAATTTTCTTTTTGTTTCCTTTGGAGACTGCTTCTAAGATTTATGCAAACCATGTTTATATCGTCTCCAAATGATGGGGTCACTAACCATGCATCACAACTGAGCATGGTTCAGCAGAGGTAACTTTTTTTTTCACCTGCTTAATTTTCCCAAAAAAAACCCCAAACAAACAACTAAATGAAATGGGTTTGCAAGAGATGGACAAGGACAACCTAGGACAAGATTATAAATTAGGGGTTGCCTTTCATGCTATTGGTTGTCATTCTATTGGTACTTCTCAAGATATTGAGATGGTTAGTCTGTCCTGCATGGATCCAGGAACTCTAGGAAACCTGTGAAATCAAAGCAGCTGTTTGCAGCTGGTATAACATGGGAGTGGAGTAGAGCTGTGACCTTGAGGAAAAGCATATGAATTTTGTTTACTATGTAAGATTCACACAATAATTGTTATCCTTGATATGGACTTGTTTTCATATTCCGGACAGCTAGAGCAGACAACAGCATTTCCATTAAAAATGGGATCCTCTTTTTAATTAACTCATTTATAATGGAAAGCTTCTTAGCTGTTCCAGCTCTCTAGACCAGGGTGTCAAACTCAAAGCCCTTGGGCGGGATCTGGC